CCACTACAATAGTTTTGTTATTTGCCTGGGGTTGTTCTTTAAAATCTGGGTTGCGTTCACAAATGTCTAAACACAGATCAGCCCTGATGCAGTCTGATTACCCAGGGGGAAGGAGAATGAGGAAATCCTTCCTTCGGCCTGCAGCCGATTAATCCGGCTCGACCGAAATAATGGCTCTTTAGCAAGAGGCGGAGCTTAAATGAAAAATGTATACTGCTCCTGTATACTGTGACATGCCAAGAATGTATGTAGACTTGTAAAATTGCTGTGAGGTCCCCTTTAAGCAGAATTTCCAAGCTCCAGATCTCCATAGGATGCAGGAAATACCTATTTTGCCATCTGGAAGCAAAACCCCCGGGCCGGGGCCACCTGACGGGGCACCACTGAGAATTCCAATGGACTATTTACCTTCCTGGTTGCCATCATACCCATGTACACAATCAATACAACTCTGCTGACGTGTAGCAAAAGGTCAACACAATACCTGAACGCCTGTTACACTGCGCAAATAAACTTTACCTGGAAACTTTGGGAGAGGAACAGACAAAGATAAAAAAAATGTACTGAAGTTCTATTAGAGCGGAACCACAAAAGGTTCCCAGCACCTAATGAGAAAGTTTGCTTGATTACTGCGAGTGGAGGGGAGGAACAAAATAAAAAAAATATAATATATATATATAATCTATCACACACACGTTCTCCAAATTTTCCTTTAAAAAAAAAACCGCCAAAAAAACAACAACACATCTCACACCCTTTCACCCCGCTGGGGTTCTTGTGGTGACGTGCTGAGTGCTACCGACGTTAGACCGAGGGGAGTCGAGAGGTCAGTCTGGCGAGGGTTAATCTATGGTGCTGGGGAATCTACCAAAAGGGTAATTGTGTCTGCAACTTTAAAGGCCAACTCCAGCATAAAATAAACACCCTTGCATTCTACTGGGGTCCTTCTTTCGGGTGTCCACATCATTGGGTGCACAAATCCCATCGGCTGTCCACCAGAATGCACAATACTACTGATGTCAGTCTCAAGGGAGTCAAGGGGACTGGCCAGAGAGGGTTAATGAACATAGGCCCGAGGGGAATCGAGGGGGAATCGAGAGGTCCAGCTGGCCAGGGTTAATCTACGGTGTTTGAGGCATGGGAAATAGGGACTCCACCACAAGGGTAATTGTGTCTGCAACTTTAAAGTCCAACTCCAACATAAAACAAACAAACAGTGATGGTCTACGGTGCTTGAGGCTGGGAAATGGGAGAGGGTTAGTCAACGGTTCTGGATTTGCAGTCTCCGCAAGCTGAGACTGCATTGGTGGGGGACCTGGAAGGGACCAAGATGAGTATAATTTGCTTCACCAGGCAAGAAAATCTAAACACCAGGCAAGACAAGATGGGTTGGAGGGCAGAAGGGAGAGAGGGTACTAGGGATCTGAATGGGGGACCAAGATATAATTTTCTTCCCCAGGTAATAAAAAAAACTAAACACCTGGCAGGATGGGTTAGCGGAGTGATGGCAGAGAGATCGTTCTGGCCCGGAGTGGTACTTTAATTCCCAATCCTGCACCAGAATGCAAATCAGCTGGCGTCTGCACCTCCATTTTGCTCTGTTCTCCAGAGACGTGCAGACGGGGGCCGTGGCCCCGCGTCCTATTTCTAGAGAGCAGCTGAATCACAAGTGAGCAAGGAGAGACTTGCCGTGCCCGGGCGCTCTCTTGCCATCTCATGCTGAAAGTGTGGGCAGCGCAGGAAAAACAGGAGTCTGGCAGCTGCGCCTCCCCCGCTGGCAGCCTGACACACTTAGCAGGAATACGGGGAGGAAGCGGCGGTCTTAACTGACATCCTGTGCGATGTGCGGGCGCTGCGAGGCAGCTGCTCCTCTGTCCTCCGCAGATCTCTCGAATGTGCAGCTGCTGGAGGAAGCCGCCACAGGAAGGAGCAACGCTCTGCAGGGCAGGACGATGGTGTCATGATGGCCGGGGTCGATGTTCAGCCATACCGCCAACATATGTACAAAGCTCATCACATTTCACTTACATGTAATGGGATCCGCAGAGAGGAATTTTTATTGGTTGATAAGCCGGGGTATTGTACTGAGATCGCTATATGGCAATTGTATCTGCAAGTGTATGGAAACCCCAACAATCCACTTTCCTCATTGGCTCGAATATATAAAAGACAAACAATTGAA